GTGTCCTCTTTTGGAAGACCAAACAAAGTAATTTCGCTTTCACAACGAAACAGCGTCACACGCGGCGGCGGCCTAGAGTGAGCGGAGGCAGGCGGCTAGAGTGAGGAACTGCTGGCGGGCTGAGTGAGAGGAGGCCGGTGAGCATGAGAACGGTGCTGCCGGCGGGCTTGCGGCAACCACATGTGATGACCCCGGGCTGGACTCCCCTTCGTCCACGGTGAAAGCCAATTCGGCGATCCACAGCAGGAAGTTGACGTATTGCCTCAGCGACCAGCACGGATCAGCTCTAGGCATGACGAAGCGGATATCGTCTTCTTTTGGAAGGCCAAACAAAGTAGTTTCGCGTCCACAACGAAACAGTGTCTTCACGACATGGCGGCAGCAATAATACTACAGCGAGAATAAAAGTTTCACCTTCTTTCTTTGCGTGAACATTTGGGCGCGTTATGCAAATCTTCCCACATCGTGACGTAGATATGTGGGGGCGTGTTAGAACGAGCCATTTTAGGTACACGTGATTGTCTCTTAAATTTTATAAAGAATATCTCTTTGGATTTGAGACGTTAGTCTTTGCAACTTTACAGATCTTCTTTATGCACCAAGAGCTTGTAACACTCCAAAGAGAAAGGAACAATTGAAATCGCATCATATGACCCCTTTAATATAAAAACTGTGCATTGTTTTTAAATGTTGCAAAATGTTTTTATTTGGTATAAACATTATTACCTCATTACATTTTCTGAGATATTCATCTTCAAAAGTAATGTGTTTACCAATAACATCTAAGAAGCAGACTATTAGACAATAAGTCATTCAGTGTTCTGAATTCAGAATTCATGTAAATCAGAAGAACAGACATTTACCATGTTTTAGCAGTAGTTTTCTCATCTCTTAACCTGACCCCTTGTCAGACTTGCTAAACTGGCTTGGTAATAAGTGTTTTCTGAAACTAGAAATTTAGGTGGAGAAACCATCCCGACTTTGATATTGTGGTTTGCTGTTCCTCATAGAGGAAGCAAAAGCTTTAGCCTTTAAGAGTCCCTGATCTTGACAAAAGACCAACAGCAGGTTTTGGCATATGTCATGTTGAAGATGCAGTAGTTGCCTTTTATCCTAGAATAATATACACGTACAATCAAGTTAAAAAAAATAATACATTTTAAACAGTAAAGACATTAATATTATTGTAATTAATGACAATAATGTTAAGATTTCTCTTTCAAATACATGCTGTTTTTCATCAAAGAATTCTGAAAAAATGTATCATGGTTTTCCTAAACCTATTAAGCAGCACAACTGTTTTCAACATTGATAATAATAAGAACTGTTTCTTGAGCACCAGATTAGCATATTAGAATGATTTCCGAAGGATCAAGTGACACTGAAGACCGGAAAATTCAGCTTTGCCATCACAGGAATAAATTGCATTTTAAAATATATTCAAATAGAAAACTGTTATTTTAAATTATATACCGTGTATATATATATATATATATATATATATATATATATATATATATATTTACTGCTGTACTGTGTTTTTGGTTAAAGAAATGCAGCCTTGGTGAGCACGAGACTTCTTTAATAAACATTCAAAAATTTTACCCACGCCAAAATTTAGTTGTCTTTTTATTAGATTTCTACGGCAAGTCACCAAACCTCCATTATTTTGTCCCTCAGCGCTGGTGCGTCTCCGAGGTTACGAGGATGTGGGGAAGGACATGCAGGAGATGAAGGAGGAGAGTGCGAAGATGGCCATGGAGAAGAAGGTGACCATCCCAGAGCTCTTCCGCACCGCTGCTTACCGCCAGCCTCTGCTTATCGCTGTCATGCTGCAGCTGTCTCAGCAGCTCTCTGGCATCAACGCTGTGAGTGACATACATTACCCATCATGCACTATGCTCGTAATTGCATACTACCCTAGTATTTTGAAATATATGTAAAACAGTATGTGTATGATTTATAATATGCATACTTTATGTATACATTAAATATTTGAATGTCTTACTGCACTGGCTGTGCGACCAAAGCACTCTGCAGTGTCCCAAATTGTAATGTGCTGAGCATCTAATTTAGGCAGTCTAATGTTTGGACTGTCAAATGTTTAATATACAATAGTGTTCTTATTTTACTATCATTTTACATTCTTTAGTTAACCATTTTGACTTTCCTTTGTGTGACTTTCCTTTCTCAAAGGTTTTTTATTACTCAACTGGTATTTTTAAGTCAGCTGGAGTGACTCAGCCCATTTATGCCACCATTGGAGCTGGAGCAGTCAACACTGTTTTTACTGTAGTATCTGTAAGTATTTAATTATTGAACTATATGAGAAATATGTGATGAGTTTGACATAATACTTCCATTTTATCCTTTTCTATAAGCTCTTTTTGGTGGAGAGGGCGGGACGAAGAACTTTGCACCTTATTGGTTTGAGTGGAATGGCCATCAGCGCCTTGGTCATGACCATTGCTCTCTTATTGGTGGGTCCTGCTGTTTGTTTTCATTTTGCTGAAGATTCAAAACAGTCACGGTAAATATCTGACCATCATGGGAATGCTAGTGTAATAACTGTATTTTCTTACATTTGTCCCTGAGCAGAAGGACATTGAGGCTGTTCGCTACCTCAGCATTGCTGCAGTTTTTGCCTTTGTGGCTATGTTTGAGATGGGCCCTGGACCCATTCCCTGGTTCATAGTGGCTGAACTGTTCTCCCAGGGGCCACGTCCTGCCGCCATGGCCGTTGCAGGATGCTCCAACTGGACAGCCAACTTTCTTGTTGGAGTCAGTTTCCCTAAACTGGAGGTATGAGCTTAATTTAGATTAAATTAAGGCAATTTAAATCAATTGCCGTTACTGTAACCACTTAAAGGGGTCATATGATGCAATTTAATGTTTTCCTTTGTCTCTGGAGTTTTAAAAGCTGTTCGTGCATACAGAAGATCCGAAAAGTCGCAAAGATTAAAGTCTCAAACCCAAAGAGATATTCTTCATAAAAGTGAACACTTGGCCACGCCTTCCTAAAACGCCTTGTTAAAACACGCCCCCACATAACTACGTCACTGTGTGGGAAAATTTGCATAACACTGCCCAAATGTCTACGCAAAGAAACAAGGTGTAACTTTTATTCTCACTGTAGTATTGTTGCCGCCACCGTCGTGGAGACGCTGTGTGTTTCGTTGCGAAAGCCAAACTACTTTGTTTGGCCTTCCAAAAGAGGACACAACGAGAAATCAGTGGTTAAGTTTTATTTACAACACTGTTCCAGAACAGTACAACCCAAATATTCGAGTGCGTGCAGCGCATTTTACGGAGGAAGGTGTCCTGAACCTAGTAAGGAGCGTAACATTTCCGTCACAAGCTTGAGGTATTCGGCCAATCACAGCACACTGGATAGCTGGCCAATCAGAGCACACCGCGCTTTTCAGAATGATGAGCTTTGTAAAAAATTGACGTGTTTCAGAAAGGCGGGGCATAGAGGAGCAACAATAATGTACAGTATGTGGAATATAATGGGTTTTTTTTCCCCATAACTCTCCTTTAAACTAGAATTTCAAATAATTTTAATCTAACTCATTAACATAATAAAAAAAAACAATTATTCTATTATAATAATTTTTTATCTCATGACTAGCTGGTTATTGTGATCTTATTTTATTATAAATTATTGTATTCCTCTCCTTGTGGGAATCCATTTCCCTAAATTAGAGAATTGGAGGTAGGGGTTTAATTTAGAATAATTTATTAAATCAATTGCCATTACTTTAACTTTACTTAAATTAGAGAATCTTTACCAATAATTCCTATCATGTAAGGCAATTGACGCTTTATGCTGCCATTGCTTAGGTATTGCTATTTTTGTCTAGATATTGAATGTGAAAGTATTTATTAATAAGCACATTTATAGGCCAGGTGTAATATGAAGAACTGCTTTTTCCCATTCTGATGTCTTCTGATCATTTATATGTTGCACGGAGAGAAACTCCAAAAAAGACCAAGAAAGAACATTCCTCTTGCAGTAGTGCACTGTGGTTTGTATCCCGGTGGTCAAGAGCAGTGTCACAATGAGCCAGCCCTCTTCTAACACTAACAAACACAACCATCTTATTAACTGTTTATACCTTTCACATACTGTACCTTTACTGTGCATAATGTACACAACTCATAGTTACTTGCTTACTGTACAGTTAGAAGAGCATCACCCTGTAAATAACTAAGTTAATGTGTCTGTTGAATGGTGTAATTGATGTAATTGCAGTTCAAAAGGAGAGTGTCTGCTAAACAGAAGTGTTGATGTTTTGACATTTGTATATTTTATGGTGGCTTTTCCTGAATGTGTAACAAAATGAGTGGCACTGTACAGTTGTATTATTTTGAGAATAAATAGTAATAAATCTAAATCATTTTATTTCTCCTGTTTCCTAAATGTTAATAGGATACATCAGATTCAAAAGTATACAATAACTTGTGGTATTTTGGAGTAACCTAGTTATCACAAAAATAAAGTCATAAAGATAACTGTTTTTACTCCGTGTGCATATAAGTAATAATGTGAATATATAGGTCTTTCAGATAACAATGAAGTTTTTTTTTCCCTTTAATTTATTTATTTTTACAGAAAAGTATTTTTAATCACTGGGCTGAAATTCAAATAACGCAACGTCATTTGCCTCTGTTTGCGTCCCATCTCGTAAATAACCAATCATAGTTAACCGTGACCTTTGAAGCCAATCAGATTTTAGCATCACACTTACGCTTCATCAAGCGTGCTTCTGGTTGACAACAGGTGAAGAGAAACTTTCATATTTAGGCTAAATACAGATGGCATTCAGATTATTTAAGGATTATTGTAAAACCCACGGCAGTTTCCCTCACGGACCAACCGCAGGCTTAACGATGTAAGTGGAAAACCAAATATTTAAACGTAGTTATAATTTTGGTTAGGTGACCATTATTTACAACTGCTAGTGATGACTAAACTGAAAAAAGTGAGTTTACATGAATAAATAGTATATTTTCAATACGTACGTTGTTATACGTTTATAAACTCTAGTTACCAATAAATATGCCAGTAATCTAATTTTAAGTCTTATTTGAATTAGAGGAGTACCAATGAATGAACATAATACGATATTTTCCAACCTAAATAAATATAATGATAAATGAAATCACACTAACTGTACTATTGCAAGACACTGTTTGTTTGTGTGTGTTTTATACATGTTTACATTGTAGCTTTGGTCTTCGCTACATTTTCCTGCATATATGACAATCTTTCGCTGTTACATATTTTACTTTACATCCCCTCTTTCTCATTTGTGTTACAATTGAGCTTTTAGCCTTTATCCGCGGTCTTCGGTCACTTTTGAGAATTTTACATTTTGAATTTTTAAAAATCGTAGCTTCACCAAAATGGTACGAAACTTGGTGACTTTCATGACACTTGGTATGTGAAGACAAAAAAAATTGAGGGCAAGATTCGAAAAAGCTAAGTGGTCGTAAAAAAGAAATAGTCACACTCGTGGTCTTCGGTCAAAAATGACCGACCATATGAAATGAATAGGGAAACAAAAATCGAAAATACAGAAAATGTTTCTGTGTACAATCTACAAATCCCTCACAATGCAGAAAAACATTGCACACTTGCTCTCACCATCAGGTGCTATTCTGCCTTCAAAAATTGGATTTTAAAGGCCTAGTCTCTATTTTGATCTGAAATACTGCATTAATTGAAAAATTATTTTACAAAATTAGAAAAAAAAAATGTGTACTATTTTCAATGGGAAAATTGATCATAATTATTGCATAAATATTCATTATTACCATAAAATTCTCTCAAAATACAAAAGAAAAAATATTACTGAAGAAAAATATATTAGATTGATTTTACTGAAGAAAAAAAAAGTTAAATTTCAGGTGTCTGATATTCCACTTTTGTCCGCGAAGACCATGAGTGTGACTCTCAAATGAGGAGCGCACAAGGGTTAATCTAAAGTCCTGAATAATAGCACATGCCTGATGAGATAATATTTTTCTTCTTTAAATTCCATAGTGATGCCACTGTCTGAAACCAGTGGCTTTCTTTAATCATTATAAAGTCCTTATCTCAAAGCTTGACTGTTCATTTATTCATAGCTAGTGTGAAGCTCTTTTGATGAGTCTTGACTGACACATAAATGGAACATTAGAGCACAGTATAGTTGAGCGATTCTCCATAGCCCGCTTCCCGCATGTATTTCTCCATGTCGAACGGCTCAGACACTCGCAGCACTGCCTGGTCATTGGTGCTTTTCTCTTTTGATTGGAGCTTTCTGATCAGCTCAGCCAATGAGACTCGATCCATTGGTTTCCACTGACAGCAGGATTTGATAATAGAATATCTAGAGAAAAAAACATTGTCATAATAGACACATTGTTGACTAATAGTTTTACAGTTTAGAACATATATATATATATAGATATATATATGCTTTTTTTAGATAAACATGTTTGCTGTATGTGTGTGAGTAAAGTAACATACAGTGTATTAGAGCAGTTGGGTGGTCTCTTTATTGTGTTCACTCTCTGTAAATGCTGCAGAAGTTCGCTGGCTATGATGTTGGGAAAGGGGGGCCCTCCTGAGATTCCAAACAATGAGATAAAGAGCTTTAAACAACTTCATAATTTGATTATTATTTTTTTTCCCATTCAAATGGAGCCCTACTACAACCTTGCAGCTGTAGCTGTACTGGAGAGTTTTATAATACTGGATGACAGACACACTCACCTAATGTCACCATCTCATAGAGCAAAATGCCAAAGGACCATCTATGGAGGATTAAACCGTAATAAATACAGTGTGAAGATCATCGGTTACAAAAACATTGACTGAAAATATAAATAATCATTACATTAAACTCACATGTCGCTGCTTTGCTGGAGAGGTTGCCGTGCTGATGCTTCTGGAGCTTGCCACTTTCTCATTTCCATATCTCCCACATATTCTATAGAGCCTGCACTCGTTTTTCTGCGATATGCCGGACCCAAACCCCACAGCTTGACCGACAGGTCCCGACCAACCAGGACGCTTCGAGCTTTGACATTGCCATGGATGTAGTTCTTACTATGCAGATACTCCTGTGATTTCAGAACAGGTTGTGTAAGAAAGAGAATGTAATCTTGGGTGTGACAAAGTATTTATTGTACATTATAAATCATAAATTCTTCAGTTAAGTGCTCATGACTGGCCATGATTAATGCATGCCAGAGTCAAACAAGTAAAAGGCTTGGTGATTTATGAAGTTGCCAGTATGTGGATGCATGGTGTGGCTTATAAAAACTCTCCATTCATAAATATACGTTTATTGCCAAGCTTTTGTGATGGAACTGACTTGTCAATATGATTGTATATATTTAGCAAGCTGATTTGTTATCTAACCAGTGCAGATCCAATCTGAGCGCCCATGGTAAAGATTTGTCTTTCAGTCATGTCACACGGTGCCTCCTGACCTGTGTGGTCCTGTGATAGAGAAAGTCAGTCAAAACAAAGGTGAGGTTTAAACTAGTAGTTTAACTTTTAATCATTACATTACATTACAGATCATCAGGAATGACACAACCTGTGTGTCGTCCATTCTCAGGTGACCTCAGCAGTAACTGATCAATGTGAGAGTTGCGAGTCAATATGTTACAGTAATTGCTATTCATGTCATATTTATCTAGAAGAATTGGAGTTTTGAGATTTATAGTTCACATTTATTCCTGTGATGGCAAAGCTAAATTTTCAGCATCAATACTCCAGTCTTCAGTGTCACATGCATGATCCTTCAGAA